GAAAGCACGAAACCTGTTTTTGTTAGTAAAATATTTCTGGTAAATATTTTGGCAAGAGAAGGAAAAGGCAAGCAAGAATAAAAACCCTCCTACTTTAAAAAACTTTAAAAGAACTGGTGTTTAAGATTCAAAATAAATACAGACACATTTCCTAAAATTTTGACAGGCTAGAGTGGCAGATTCCCTTTCCTATTTTTTCTTCCTTTATATTTCTTTGCAGTGTTTTAAGTCTCTAATATAGAAGTTGAAATTATCTCACCCAGTTTCAATCCACTGTCCACAAATCACTCCAGTACATATTCATCTTCTCCTGCTTGTCACAGCTTTGGCCTTGCCAAAATGGCCACCGCTCCAGCGTGGGGGAGAATGAGGAGGCAAAGATGGCTACTGCGCTGTTAAAAGGCAGCCGCATGCCTCTCCTAGGCAGGCTCGGCCCAGAAAGGGGGCGAAAAATTTAAAAAACCCAAAAATTAAAAGAAAAAAGGTTTTAAAAGAGTCGCTGGCACAGCCAGACGCTTTGCCATGCTTTTAAAAGCAAGCAGCAGCTCACCTAAGTGCGGCGCAGCGACGGGGCACCCCACCACCACCATGCCTACCTCCTGGCCTCCGAGGAGATCGACGATGTCGTAGAAGACACAAAAATTGAAGAAAATCAATCTGATGGTAGTAGAAAAAAGGGTGAATGAAATTGAAAGGAAAAAGGAAGTTTAGAATGGAGAGTCCAAGCTCACGGAAAATTTTAGCTGGAGCTCACAAAAACAGTCCTGAATGGGCAGACTGAGGAAAAATTCTAGGGATTAGCAACACCAGGAGGCATGGCCAAGGAAGTTTCCTCAGTCCCAGGGCAACCAGACTGAATTAACCCGTTGCTTGGAATCTCCCGCGGTGCACAGGAAAAGTGTTCTGATGTTATTGATGCCAGGTTCCTCTCTGCCCAGAGCCCAAGGTTCTGGGCTTCCAGCCATCGGCTCTTGGAATGGGTACCCTCTTGACTATTTATGTGGCTTTTGTGGCAACATTGTCCGTCAAGAGGAGCACGTGATGGTTGGCTATTGAGTCCCGAAAGTGAAGCAGTGCCAGGCGGGCTGCCTTCAGCTCCAGCCAATTTATATTGTGGTGCAGGTCGGACCAACCCTGCGCCAGTCTGGATTCCATCAAGGCCCCCCAGCTGAAAAGGCTCGCATCTGTCGTAATTGAGATGTGATCCGGTTCCCAAAACTCAGATCCGCGGCAGAAGGCCAGGGACAGCTACCTCTTCAGGGACCAGCAAAGCCCCGGTGACAGGGAGACTGAACATGGATAATTGCTCATGCATTGGAGTTGGTAGGGGATGAGCATCCACTGGAGAGTCCGAGAGTGGCGGCGGGCCCATGGAACAATCCCTATGCATGACACCATCTTGCCCAAGGTCCCCCTTCTCCTGGGTCCTCTCCCCCTTCCCTATATGATCTAGGAGAGAAGGGAGGTGAAGGAGAAGCCACCTGTCTGCGTGGTCATGCAGGTGATATAGAAGGGGAAGGACTGAAACCCCTGGGGGGGGGGGGAACCAGAATGGTGAGAGCTGGGCCCTATTGAGGATCTGGATCTACAAAGGGATTCAGGCCTAACCGCTTGTGCTAGCATCTCTGCCCTGGCCACCTGCTTCTCCAAGGCCTTCTGTCTCCTTGACTCATCCCTAGCAGCCACTCTGGAGGGGCGCTGGTCAGTTGCAGGCCTGGAGGCTGCTGCCCTGGGCCCGAGTCTGCTTTGGCCTTCCTCTGCCATTTCTTCTTGGGCCTGCACTGATTCAGGGGCCATAGAGGCCATGCCTCACTCACGTGGCCTGTGCCTGGATTGACTGCGGCAAACCTGCCAGCCTCGATGTATGGCCGTGCTGCAGGACGCTGGGCAGAGAAGGAGCCTATCGGCCTCGATTAATGGCCGCAATATTGGCAGTAGACCCAAGGAGAAGGCGTTTGCAGGCCTCAGTTAACAACTCCGATGCAGGCCATTGTCTTAGAAAATGACTGCCGCCCATGAAGTCGCACCAAAATGACGATTGTGGATCGAAAGAAAGGCATTCAGTCTCAATAGCTCTGAGGTTGTGGCCTTGCGATGATCCGAGCCCTTTGGACTCTTGTAGCAGCTACATCTGTCCGTTTGCTCTCTGCTCTCCTTGACGGACCGCGCTGCGCCGCTCGAGGCGACTCACAGAGGCACGCCTCTCCAGCGTAATTAAAGCTGCAGCGAATTTTTAAAGTTGTGGTGAGGCTCTGGCGGCAGCGAGACCTTGCAGAAGCGGCGGGTTGTTAAAGCCACGGCAAGGTTCATGGCTTTCAAAGGAAAAGCAATAACAATCATGCCGCCGCAGAGCCTGCAATTCGTTAGACTGCAATAGGAGCCTGCCACCCCTGCATACCCAGGAATCAAGCCCCTTTTCCGGCCCAAGGTAGAAGGCCAGGGCCCTCCTTATCCTGATGACGCTTTGGGACAGTCTCTATGGGCAGCAGTCGATTCTTATTTTGGTAGGAATTTTAGAAATCAACCTAATTAGGAAAAATATAAACTTCAATAAGTACCTCACTGGAGCCACAGCTAGTGCTTGGACTGAAGGAAACTGGGAGCCTAGAGGGAAAGGAGGATATTTAAGAAAAATCCCTCAGTCTCTGGACCAATCAGGCTGTGACTAAACCCAGCTGTAGCCCCTCCCGCCGAACCTACAGGAAAACTTGGAGGGTACCTAGTTTTAGTTGGCAGATGCTGCTAAAGAGAAGGTGAAGAAAGTTCTGACTCCTGCAGCACTCTCCCAGCCAAAACAGGGTGTGGGGAGCCTCACATGGTCCCATGCATCCCATATTCGGCCTGGACGACCTTCTGCAGCACTCTGCCTCCTGCCTGTGGGGCCAGCCTGAAAATATCAAAGGACCAGTCCTCAGTGTCACTGCTGGCCAAAATGGGCCTCCAGTAGCACTCTGCTGGCTGAAAACGGGACATGGGGGGGGAGGCGCAATGCATACCTGGCCCATGGGCTTCGAGTTAGACACCCGTACTCTAAAAGAATGCAGATTACCAATTGTCTGCAAGGAATATAAATCCTTCCATTCCTCACTATCCTGTCAGAGCTTGAAGCAGCTTATTGGGTGAGAAGCAAAATATCTTCCAAAAAAAAAAAAAAAACCCAAGAAAGTTCAATCCCTCCTGAAAGTAGCACTTTTGGGACTACTTGCTTAAAATATTTAGAAAGCCCGGGAATGCGGAAAATCTCCAAAAAAACCAAAAGTAACTCCTAAAAAAAACTACATTCAGAAAATATTTTGAAATCATTGGAAACCTCACTTTATTTGTAGTCCAGTTGCACTGCATTGTATGTACACTCTAATGGCCTCATTAATTCTATTACAACACATACTTGCTTTTGTATTCAGTCAGTTACATTTTATGTAAGTATAAACAGGAACTGTAACTGCACCCCTTTTTAACAGACTCTAGAGATAATGTCCAACACTGTCAATAAAACAATTGCTGCTAGTGTAATGTATCCTGGTCTCTGGTTCAAACGTATCCATTATACCACATAATTTGTACCTTTTGTCAAATTACTTTTCTGCATAAAGTTTGTTAGCAAAAAATGCCTCACCCACAGCTCCAGACATCAATGGCAGGTGTGTATCGTTCCTCTCCTAGCAGAAGTTCAGGGGGACGGTACCATAAAGTGATAACTTTGTTGGTATATGGACGACTAGGGAAAAAAGAAAATATTTTTGCATTTTTATTTAAACATAATTTCCCATTAAACATTTTTCCAAATAATGTTATCAAAATGAAATCATCCTATAAATCTTCTGAGCTCACTTTTCAATAGAATTACAGATTTGTTTTTGAAAATTTATTTCCTAAATTGGTACTGAGCTGTTGCGAGTCAAGTGGACTATACATTTAATAGATTGTTATTTTCTACATAACAGCATGAAATAAAAGCTACCAGTTTTTTTAGCATCTGTTAATCTTTATATGCATCAAATTCTTTACAAGAACTTAAGATGCTGTAATGTATTGGCAAGATATATGTGATCCAAACAGTATGATGTTTTGTAATTGACAGATTGGATGCTTAAATGTCAATACATAATTTGTCTAAGTACCATCCAAGATTTCTTGGTACGCCACCTAGCATACCCAATAACTAATAGGACTACTACAGCCAGCTTATGCCATAAGCTTTCAATTTTGATTTTTAGCTCTTTATATTTTTGTGATCTTCTCCAATTCTTTCTCCTTTTGTGCTATTATTCCCTGGTAAAGCTACATCAATTATCAATACTTTCTTCTTTTCAACCATAGTTATATCTTGTATTTTATGAGCCAGATAACATACTGGTCTGTATTCTAAAATCCCACAATATTTTAAACTGCTATTTTCAACTACTTTTTCAATTTTTTGTTACTGGCACCTGATCATTTTTACAGTTGTTCCAGTAAATAATTTTGGCAATCATCTTATATAATTTATTATAACTATGATCACAAATCCTGTGAGCTGGATATATTTGAATTTTTTGAATTTAAAGTTTATTTATATGTCACCGTTTTCCCTGGGGGGACTCAGGGCGGCTTACAACTTAAAAG